ACTAACTTCTTTCAAACATTCTTTCAGAGGAAGATCTGGAGCATATGAGCAGGTGGTGATAAAACGCTAGACTAGAATGACAAACAAGAGGAAAACTTGGAACTCTGGCGTTGATACTTCTGTTTTTGTTTGCTCTGTTGCAAGAGTTGTGAAAGCCAAAATGAACTCAATGTGTCTTTTTTTGAAAAGTAATGGAATGCCTCTTGCTCATAGAGCTTCACCTTCTGTGGTATGAAGGTAATATTTAGCTATGTATAGCTATGTATACCTTGTGCGAGCACTTGGATGGTTTTTGTAAGCTCTACCTGATGTTAGTGGAATTACTTGCTTTTTAAGTTGCGTGAAACACTTTTGGAAGCATGATTAAGTGAGTCCCATTTCAGTATTTTATACAGGAGATCACTTGTGGTGATGTAGTTTGTAACTTCTTTTCTAAAGAAGCTTCTAAAAGTTGGTCTTGAATGAACCTGAAGAAATTAATTACTCTATTTGAATCTACCTGCCATTTTAGTCTTACAGAAGATAATTACTTCTATCAAGTCAAAATTAATAGTAATTCAAAATTAAGGCCTCCACAAAACAGCCCAGCTATGTTTTAACATAACCAAAGCCTTCTCTTAAGAGTACTGAGCATAACTTCATTGAACGGCAGAGGTGAACTTCACATGCATTTAAAAAAAAAATACTAAATAGATCTAAAGCAGCCAATAATCAGTTGTGTTAACTGTAAATGAAGTCTAGAGGCTTAAATGCATCAACTGTGACATCTGTTTTCATGAAAGTGACAAAAGAAGTGGGATTCCACGTCAAGTTACTAAGGCACAGTAGTGTATTATCAAGCAAGCTGGCTTGATTGTTAAAATCTGGAGTTCAAAAGCTGCTTCTACAGAAACTCATTTCAATAATGCATGAACCTTGACATTCGGTGGGATGGTACTGTTTACAGACCTGGGCAGTAGTTTACTACCACTTAGAACTTTTTATCATAGCATAATCCTTCACAGTTAGTTAGTGCTTTGCTTGTGTTTTGAATGTGCCTTCTGGGATCGGGGAGGTATGGGGAGATGAAACTATTTACTAAGCAACTTAAGCTTTAAAACTAGGTAAACATCTATAATATTATCAATAATAACTAAGAGAAGCACTTTATTGTAGATGTACTCTGCACACTGAAAAAGTCTTACTGGGCAGCAGATTTGTTGAACACTTCTTCCTATACTATCTATCCACTGTTACATTAAGGTCAATGTACTGTATTTAAATTTGCACAAGTGGTGATTTGCCTGACAGGCAAGAAAGATGAAAGATCTCAAAATTTTTGTTGATAATTATGAAAAAATCCATTTTGAAAGGGATGTGTTAGGTGAGACAGTTCTAATTCAGGCTCGGCTCTGCTGTATTTAACTGTAAACTGCAAATTACCTTAATTTTGTTATGGTTAGTTGTATTGTTTATCAGTAAGGCTTGGATTAAATAAAAATACAAATTTTTGAAAGCTCTGAACGCTTCAAATTCTGCTCAGTGATGTTTACATCCTTTTATTGAAGTATAAGTAGTAGGCCACATTTAATAGGTTAAATTAGGAAAAGCAGGCTTTGTTTTCCATAAATCCATAGTAGAGTTATTAAACTAATTTTTATTTGTGTGTTTTAAGGAAACTTCAGATTTTAAAGCTTGAGTACTGTTATTGAATATGATTAATATTAGCTATTTCTCAGTTATGGTACTTAAATACTTTTATGTCCTACTGTTAATTATAATCTCTTTGAAGTGTTTTAATGGGTAAAAGAATTAATACAAAGATTATATTTTAGCTGCTGTTAATAGAAGTGTGGTATTATCCATTTCTGTCCTCCACAGGAATTTTAAACAGAAACTACATAACTGCTAGTATACAGCTATCTCTCAGAGCATGATAGTTTCCTTTCCTGTTAAATAACCAATTTGTACCAAAAAACTCCTACTGCAAGCCAAAAGATACGTGAAATTTGAATAAATTAAGTTGCTTTCAGTACTCTTTAACACTGCTACACTTGTTGACAAATCTGTTAAAACCAGTAGTAGTTAGATGGTAGTTTACTAGGAAAAGTAGACATAGTTTGAGGAAAGCAGACTTTTAAAAAACATTGTACAGCGACTTATGTAATTCTTAAAGGAGTTTCCATAGCCCAGATGCGTATTCCATGTTAAGACACAGCTAACTGCCATAGATTAGATATTTTGTTTACTAGAAACCAATTATTTTCTTGCCTGAGCAGATCTTTTAAATCGGAGGGAAGTTTACATGTAAATCAAGCTTTTAACAAGACTGTATTCTAGTAATTTATTGTTCTTGCTGTAAGTTACAACTCTTTTTGAAGTGATTCTCTGTGCATATTTTAAGTGGAACATAATACTGCATCTAAGTGTGAAGGTTTTCTTTTTTGTAAACTATGTTATAGGAATACTGGAGGCTCTCATATAGTAAACTGGGATGTGTTGGTGGTTGGTTTGGGGTTTTTTTTTTTCACTGTATTTAAATGCAAATGTCTCAGATATTCAATAAACTCATGTCTTCAGCTTGGAATACGTTTCTAAACAATTCTTTTTTTTTAATGCAAAAATTACAAACTTAAATGGACACAAACTTCCACTTCAGTTTCTCTACTGCTTTTCAAACTTTACCTCTGCAGCTTATTAAACATCTCCAGTCCACACAGTATTTAATGGCACCATTACTAGTACATAGTTATTTATCTGTCTCCTAGAGAGAAAAAGTAGTATGTCAGTCTTATGCAAATGAAAATTAATTTTGAAGTGTGAGGCATACTGGTAGGTTAATTATTAAGCAGACTCCACAACTAGCAGTGTTTGGGGAAAGTGAGGGCACTGTGTATAGTCCCTCCTCACCCTGCAAATGACAGAATTAATCCTCCTCAGGTGAGTGTGAAGACTTCCTACTCATGTTGATAAATGAGGTTTGGCTCATTCAGTTACAGCTGGGTTATGTGTAATTCATAATGGTTAGGTGTTGGGACTTTTTTGGTTTTCCATTTAAACTGAGCGGAAGAAACAGGGGCTTCTGAAATGACAGAAAAATTGATCCTGCTATAAAGTACCAAAGTTACAATGTTTCAAAAAGAAACAACACAGGAAGAAGTTCCATGGTCCAAAAATCTTCTAACTATAGTAAACCATATAGTGAACTGCAGAGATATTTTCTAATAACAAACCAACGCTATGCTTATTAGCGTCCGAAGAATATTCACCAATTTTTAATTTTACATTTATTTTAACATACCAACTATGGCAAGTTCATATCACAATGTCAAAAAAAGTGAAACCATTCTAAATGTCATATTAAAGATCAAATTTAATTAAATTAATTATTAAAATTAATTATGCATATTGTGATAAATTAAATTTTAATAATCCATGTTTATTTGTTGTAGGAGGAAAAAAATCTCCCACAAAACTTAAGTAAGCATTTTTTAAATCATTCAGTATGACAGAGCACTGCACATCATTCTTCTTTCCCTGAAACTCAACCTGTTATAGATTCTGTACCATTTCTCAATTCAGAGAATTGCAGCTGTCTTTTCTCTTTATGTCTGAGCTCTCACCTTAATCATTTAAAGTGAATTCCAAAAACTTAGAAGGTAGAATGAATGCAGCCATCTTCTTTAAGAAAAAGTCAACCCTTACACAGAATTTATTATTTTTGGAAAGCTGTGAAACTTTCATAAACATGAGGTTAGTTCTGATAATACTAGCTCATTCAAAGCTGCCAATGACATTGTGAAACACACACAGAAAATGAGGCCTTTTAATTAACCACCTCTTCACTCATAAGAAATACTCGATGAGATACTAAAAAAAAAAAATTGGGTATGAGAAGAAATTTAAAAAAAAACTGCAGTGTGTTGCTTCATTAGTCCTGTATGAACAAGCCAATCCTGTGCATCCTTCAAAATTTCTGTCTTCCCAAGTCTATCATCTAACATTTCCTTACTGTGCATTTACACATACAATTCAGCTCTACTTAAAAAAAAAAAGTCATCCTGGCCAAATCAATAAGATCTACTATCTACAATACCTCTGCTTTTTATTTCTGCTGAATGTGTCATCAGGACTTTTTGGACAAGTGCTGCACTGAAAAACACAGAATATTTTTTTTTTTTTTTCCAGGTACACCAAGGCCAGTTTAGCATTCACAATGACAGATTTCAGTTTTTGAAAAAAAACCAGAATAGTCAAAGGTATCAGCTTCAAATTAATTAAATTCAGCTTCTAGAAAGTTACAGGATGCAAGCTATTTCCCAAGCAGCAGTTATCAAGAAACTGGATAAAACAATAGGGCTAAATCTACCTTCCCCCCACCCCTTACATCCAACATCATGGCACTCTTCCCCAGTATTGAATATACTGAGCTATAAATGTCTGAGGCATATTCCAATTTATCTGGAAATATCTTGTTTTTTCTTGTTTTTATCTTGTTTTTTCACAGAAGCTAAGTATGTGCTTATCTTGAAAAAGGCATCTATAAATTTTATTCTGTTAAGAAAAAGGTTGCCCTAAACCTATGTCTGACTCTTACTATTCAGCACAACATAGTTCTGTGGTCTTAACTATCCTTGAAGCTAACAAAAGATTACCAAAAATAATCTAGTCATTATAGCTACAGTATGGTAAGGGCTGGGGGGGGAACAACTAACACACACCACAAACAAACCAAACCAGAAATACTTAACGTTTTCCTTCATGGCAATTAAGTCTTTCCTTTTAGCCCCTGATACTCTACTTCAAAACTCTACCCGTTACTGCAATCTTTGTCAGAAGCACTCACCTTTGCTAAATGAGAGAGGTGCTGATGGATAAATAGTGGAAGGTTTAGAAAAAAAAAGATTTTTGTGGTTCTAGTTAGCATACCGAACGACCATTTGACAGGTACTAAAAAAAAAAAAAACCCCAAAACATTACTTTCATTACTTTAACTGAACTTTGTGTGAGAAATCTGTGATCTAATTCTCTTCATTGTCATGTTCAGTACTGAACACCACAGCAGAACCATCACTGCTCAGTGTGACGTTGCCAGCAATAAGCTTGCATAACTTCTCAAAGGTACCACAAAGTCGATTGACTTTGGGAAAAGAAAAGATTGTTTTAAGAGGTATATAAACCACATTTCCATTGACAAATGGTTCCATGCTTTTTTCAACAACCAGTTTTCCAAGCTCTTCTGAAAAGCAGTTCATTGAAGGTTGGAATTTGGATTTTCTCTCAGTAGGATCATTGTTATACTCCTCATGTTCTGACATTAAATGGTCCAGCAGACTTCGCTTAATGATTTGTGCTGTGAAAATAACTTCACTGACCACTGCATTCTGCAGGTACTTCTCATCTTTAAGACTTGGATACACCGCTTTGAAGACCTTTACAACATGTAAGAACACATAGAATGTTTTATCATTATCATGGGCTCAGATTTTAACATTTGCTTGTCAAAAAGAGCTTCTAAAATGTGAACGTAATTTTATATTCAATCCTGTTTTGCCTATTACTTCAAACATTTTCAGATAACAGAAAAACTAGACAATATGACTTGATTTTATATATTACAACTACAATGGCAATTAAATAAGTTAACAGAACTTCAAAAAAAAAATCAGGCTTATATCTGCAAGCTATACTTGTAGATCAGGCAAGGTGAAGCCCTGCAATTCTTTAATTCTTTTTAATCATCCTCTTACTTTCCACATTACTCATCATGAAGCTCTGGTGACAGTTCCACAGCTACGTAGATTCTAAACTACTTCTGAACTGTCATCTGGAAACCAGGACTGCAGCTATGTCTTTCATTCCATTTTCAGAGTAAAAACATTAAATATGCTCTCACAGGTGCAGAGAATGCTAAAAAATAAATTGTGACATCAAAATCTGTGACTTTGTAGTGTGTTTCTACACTGAGCTACACTCCAAGTCAATTAAGGACACTAGGCAGGCCATCTCATTCCCACTAGTTTACTAGGAAGCGCTTTATACCAACCCACAACCACTGAAGTTCCACAGTCTATAACTACTTCTCACTTTCTGATTATATCTTGGAATGTTGATTTATTCCCATAAATTAGTTACATAATAAAATAAAAATTAATTTGATAGTCCAGGTTTGATAAGAAACACATAAGATATAACACTCTGGTTTAAACTGAAAGGATACTGATGTCAAAACTCCCTCCATAATGACCCTGTAACAGAAGATAATGAAGCAATTTCTAGTACATCAGTCACCTAGACGTATTTCCAAGTTTGCTCTGCATTACAGAGCACTTCACAATTCTATGGGGCAGTAGATAACATGTGAAATTTCAAATGTATAGAATGTCTTTATAGCTTGGAAACTACAAAAGACATTCCCGTAATGTCACTTTACATTTCACTTTAGGTCACAAGTCACTTGAAGACGCATATATACCTTTAAACAAAGAAGTGAAATACTAGAATATGTTCACTGAAACAAATAATTTATGGCTTCATAAAATTGAAAAAACCCCACCACCAATATATTTCTTTTTTTTGCATTATTACTTCACGTTACGTCCTTTGATTTATACCACATGGTACTTAGGTGCTTTAGGCTTTGTTGGTGTGACACACTGCAACACACAGTGGAGTAATTTACAAAAATATTATCTGATGTTATCTAAAGTTAACGCCATTTAGTGCTAAAAACCAAAAAGGTTTGATGTGCGCCACCAGAACCGGGTACTCGGCAAGATCCCATACCTCTGCAAAAAACAGAACTGGCTACCTGAAAATACCGAGATTAGGGTGGAACATCAAATCATAGAATGCTTTGGGTTGGAAGGGACCTTGAGAGATCATCGAGCCCAACCCCCCCCGCAGTAAGCAGGGATTGAACCTGTGAACTTGGTGTTATTAGCACCATGCTCTAACCAACTGAGCTGACCCTGCTGGTCATGCTACTGAATAAGGCAAACCATGCAAAACAGGTCCTGTCAATCCAATTTCTAGGAAATGCCTGCCTTCTGATAAAATATCTGACAAGACTACACAGTTCTTCAAAGCATACACTCTGTTAGAAATTCTTTTTTATGCTTTTTGGTTTTTATGTATCTGAAAAATCTCTGTCAGTGTCAACATCCACATGATGAAAAAATGAATGATAACAGGAAAAAATATAAAAGTAGTGTCACAGTATACCTGGCGGAAAGGAGCATTTTCATTCTAAGGATATGTTAAAATAAGAATTATTATCCATATTGCTATTTAGCAAATAACCTAAAAGTTAAAGGCCTTTATACAATTAGAAACACAAATCATGGACATGGACTCTTTTGATCTGATGGTGTGTGTTAATCAGAGCTAAGACTGGATAGCAATAATAGACCACAGTAAGAACACCTTCACAGGCAGGTCACAGAAAATTTTACTCTTTATTCATCCTCCTAAAGGAAGAAAATAATACTTACTGTTTTGTAAACTGCTTCAGTGGCTTTCTCAGACTGAGCAGATTCACTGGTTTGAGGATATTTTCTAACAAACACACCTATTTGGGTACAAAACCCAACATTCTCCATGCCTGCTGGTGGGTGCCCTACACCAGTAAATTCCACTGAGTAATCATAGCGTCTAGCAGTCTCTAGAGCCCTAAGAAAGACAAATTATTCTGATCACACTAAATATTCATCTTTTAATGTGATAAAGATGCATTCTCTAACAGAAGCAAAACCCTGAGCCTGTGAATGCTTGAGCATAATTTCTCTAATAATACTCACACGCCTGAAGATAAGCACTGTCAAAACTTGCTGAATCAGAGCTGTAATCATATGCCTACTATAGTCTGAATTATTTAGTATCAGTAATTTAGGCAACCAAACATTACTGTTATTTCTAAAATATCTGCACAGAATATGCATGTTCACAGTTGCTTACTCACTGTCTTAAATGCATTGAAAGTGAGCTAAAAACTACCAATTTTAGAGAACAAAATTATTTGAGAAGAACCCATAAAAAGCATACACACCCTAAAACCACAAGAGGCTAGTTAATAGAAAAAAAAAAAAAAAAAGAAGTGAGGTTTGGTGTAAATGTATAAAGAGTAAAGTCTACCTAATCAAGGTTACATGTACACGACATCTAAATGTCTAAACCAATCTTGTAGTACTGTACATCAGCCAGTGTGAAAAAAGTGATGAGGCAGGGAACTAACTATAGCAGGGTATTATTATGTGAAAAGGTTAATCAATACCTTACAGTTCAAATGCATTAATTGTAACAAAGATATATAAAAAGGAAAGTAAAAGTTTTAAATATTTTTTGCAGAGCAGTTACAGTAAAAGCAAGCCAACTTAACAACCATCATAAAAGGCAAAACCCTCAGAGCATGTTTAACTATTTGTAACAGCAAAGAAACGATTCAACAGATCAGTAGGTATGAAACTCCACTGACACCAAACCACATACACAAACCATTCTGAAAATTTATAGTTATTCCTTTCTCACATCACTGAACACTCAAAGTTTTCTGCATGCGATGTTCAGTAAACTTACCAGCTTTGAAATTGTGCTTGGTTCCATTCAAATTTGTGGTCTGGATGCCTGAATAATGTCACTCCTGGAAGCAAAGGGTTAAATTCAGAATTTGGCGTACTGATCACAACGATGCTTGGAGCCATGAAGCCAAACACCACTTCAGGAAACTTCTTTAGTTCTGCTTGTTCCAGGTGCTCTATTCTGTAAAGGATTAAGTTTATGTATGTCTTTAAAAACACCCTACTACATTTCAATCTTCTTAACAACCAGACAAAAAAACCAACCCAAACCCCTATCTGTACCTTGTAATTTTAAGCCTAGCTCTGCAATATTAGCACTGGCACTGCAGCTGAGTGGCAGCTTAGAGGTTTTGGTCTGAGAAAATTTCCTCTTGCATTTTGTATTTTTTCATCAATATCCTTTTCCACCATAAGTTAGCACCACTTGAATTTCTTAGTATGGTTAATTTAAGCAAAAGTTAGAAGATGCCACATTCTGCTACTCTTCTGCTTGAAAGGTTTGATCAAGTCTGTTTTAGAGTATGGACAAAATTCCAAACTGAACCCTAATAAACTTAGAAAAATGTAGTATGTTGGCCTAATACTCACAGTTCAATACAAGTTACCAAGTCAAAACCAAGCATGCAAGGATCTTTATGGGCAACTGAACCATGATGCAAGGTAACAGTTAGGGATCTTTCAGCCGGTTGCAAATAATCACCAGGAAGAGGAGACAACCTATGCCTACAGAAGTATTAAAAACACGATGTCACAGAAAGGACCTTAGGACAAGGTAAACTGTGCATCTAACTGAACTACCTAACACCCTACATAGATACCTTGTAAATCTCAAAAAGGTTACCTATTTTACAGGGATAAAATAAAAGATTTTCTAATACAAACACTTCTTATGACTACATACAATAGGACAGAAAGAGCAGAGGAGTTAATCCAGCAGCTGTCCTTCACGTTCAGAATTTCCACTATACTCTCAAGTCACTTGCAAAGCCGCTTGTGAATTCTGATAGCAGCTCAACTCTAGACACATAGTAAGTCTGGCTTAGCCACGCTTTACAGGATTCTTGGGGAATATTAGGCAAGCATATTAATCTTTTTTTTTTCCCCAAATAAAATAGACTGGGAACTAAAATGTATGTGCAAATTTCGTTCTGAAATACCGCATCAGACAAAACACACAATAAACATTAAATATAATAAAAGGCTACTTTTATTCATTCTTGAGAAAGAGCAAGTGATCATGTCAGCATCTAGATCCTACATATTAATTGAAATTATACTAATCAGCTTCTAAGAGAGAAACTTTGGTGTTCCTCACCAGTCTGACCCATGCTTCAAAGATCACATAAACTTCACATTTTAAAGCCTTCTAAGCCAGACAGAAAACATTGCGCTAACCTTCTCATTTCAAAAAGATGAACAATGAAGTCCCCACAACAGTGACTAGAAGAGAGTTACATGCACATTTCAAAAAGATCAGATTTGGATACCACAGTAAGTGTCATGTATGAGCATAAACAGATACTACTAATACAATGGTTTAGTACCTTTACAAACAGTGTATTTCTCAGATGTACACACCGTCAGGGCCATTCCATGACTTGGACCTTTGCTACATTAGGTGATGTTACAGACATCTACAGCCCAGTAGTCCCCAGACACAGGTACAATGTAACTAAATAACAACAACAGACAGCTCTTCATTTGCCAAACTGGTATTTCCGCATTTACCTTCATTTTGAAATTCTTTACAAGAAATGATGTAACATGCCACTAGGTCAAGCAAAATACAAACCTTAAATTAACACAATGAAAGAGCTTACATTTTCTCTTTCATTACACTTGCACAGATATCTAGCCCAGCTAACACTTCAATGCAACTGCAGAATTTCAGCATCCAAAGAAGCGTACAGTCAGCGCATCCTAAATCTGCCACCTGTAAATCAGATATTAAACAATGTTTAAATGCTGCATATTTCCAAGTAATTTCAGAGACTTTCATAAAATAAAAATTCAGTATCTATGTCAAAATAACATTTTAACGATAAAACATTTCACAATCATCACTAAAATTACATAACTAAAATTGCAAGCAAGATAGACATGGATTTGAAAATTCTTTTAAAAAATGTATATGAAGATCCTACAAGATGTTTTAAATGGATTAACCTTTTATTCTTACAGCTATGAACAAGTACATGTAGAACATCCCACTGACTGTGGAGAATGTCTTCCACATGAAGGCATATTCCCTCAAATAACTGTAAGGTATGACTTAAGTATTAAAGCTGTAGCAATTTTCACATTCACCACTGCTTTTCACTGGCCTGCTCTCCATCCAAAACACTAAGAGCCTCACCAGCAGCCAGGTTAGCAGCAAAGGATCTGCATAAAACAAGTTTACAGGCTCAGTCTAATGTTTAAGTGGGGAAGGCTGGGAATATTGACCACAAAGTCACACATATAATAGATATTCCTTCCTGTAAACTTAAGGGGTAGTCGAGTACACAAACCAAACCCCACTGCTCTTTCTCAGGCTAAGTCAAGGTTGAAGCACACTGCCCAGTACTCAGTGTAAAAATCCTGAATTGTTTCTATTCAGCTTACCTCTACCTTGTGGGTAAACAGAAGTTTACACACACCCCCATTTCCTCTCCTAAATCAGAAAATTCAAGCTTTTAAATACAGATGCAACACTCCTGAATACATTCTATTTAAAAGAAGATTGTAGCGCCATGGCCTCATAGACTGGATTAGATTTTTATTAGCTACTAGAAGTATGATTATGTGAGCACACTGCACATGCATTTCTCATCAATTTCTTGCACGCTCCCTAAGATATTAATATCAGGTTCAGAGTTAAACACTGAAGACAGAGGTATTTCTCAACTTTTTACATTCTGGAAAGAGGTGCTGGGAGGGAGAATATATTAGAAAAGAGCAAACACTACACAACATCACTTAAATAATTTAACGTTTCAAGATGACTATCGAAACAAGAGCCTTGGTAGGCTGGTGGGGGGGAGGGCTGTGTGCAGAAACAGGAGGGGGTGACAAGACTTTAAGAAAGTGGAGGAGAGTTAGCCTCGCATAATCCCACACTCTTAATATCACTTCTGATCAGAGAACATCCATGTGAATGATGAGGTAAACTTGCTAACAGTATATGGAACTAACAGCTCTAGAAAGCAAACCGAAACTATGATGGAAGCAGCTTGAACCAAAATCCTCAGCATTAAATTAAAACCAGAATGCCACCCCCTCCAAAACAGGCTAAGGCATTTTTCTTGTTTAGATTTTCCCCTCTTCCCATCAATTAGCATTAATTATATGCACCCCTGAAAAACAAAACATGATCATCAAGTGTCTGCTAAGGCAATTCAGTTTTAACAATAGCTCCTCCACTACTGTTGTTCGGTAATTAGGTCAGCAGGTTATCTAGGCATTTCCTGTCTCCCTGAGATACCTAATGTTAACTTTTTTTCAAATTCATAACATAAAAAGACAAAACATACCAACCTTCTTAGGTTTGTATTTCCCCACCAAATCTTTAATGAACTGGTAGCGTTGTTTGTACAAAGGAGGTGTAAATTTAATAATTCCTGTAAACTGTTCTTGAAAGTTCTCATCCATAATATTTTGCTAATGCTAAAACAGTTGACTCTTATTTTCTGAAGTACTTTCCAACGTATCAAATTACAGAGTTTGCTGTTTTCAGTGGTGTTCAATTCACAATTAAGCAGGGGTAGACCTGATCCTAGATCTATTCAGAGAATGACAAAAACATAGGAATTAACGAAATTAGGCACTAGCTGCTCCCTCTGCATATAACAATGTAAATAACCTTTTAATAAACAATTATAAATCATATACAATCATAAAAAAGCAAGTTTCATAATTTGTCACTCTCCATCTGGCAAACCTGCATAGCGTTTACACAACCACATTTAACCTTCCTTAGCTTTTCTGGCGAGGGCAGAAAAATAAATAATTTCTCACTCAGGTGCCTACTTTGTCTTTCATCTATCATTTGTTTTGTCTTACAATTCAGATGATTTTATACACAAATCTGGATATGTATGGCTCTATACAATTTCTACAATTAACGACTAGCAGGAAATACCTGAATAATTACTATCTTCTGCAAGAGGAAAGGTTCTGCTAGGCCTTAGCTTTAGATTTACTATGAGCTAAACCTTGTAATTAGTGCCTGCATTTTACAAGTAATCTAACATAATTCAACGTGGCACTAGGGTCATAAACATTAGTGCATTTCTAACTCTCCCACCTTTTCCTAAAAAAAAATACGTATTAGCACACATAAATACTTAAGAAGAAATATACCCACTAAACCTAAAAATAAGGCCCTGATGAATGATGAACGAACTCCACAGCAACCACGCAAGCAAAGGGCCGCGGCCCTG